CAAAGTAATCCAGGAGTGGATCACTGGACAGCGGTCAAGAACATCCTGAAATACCTCAAAAAACTAAGGATATGTTTCTCGTACATGGAGGTGACAAAGAGCTCATCGTAAATGGTTACGTTGATGCAAGCTTTGACACTGATCCGAACGATTGTAAATCGCAAACCGGATACGTGTTTTTACTGAACGGTGGAGCTGTCATTTGGTGTAGTTCTAAACAAAGTGTCGTGGCGGGGTCTACATGTGAAGCAGAGTACATAGCTGCTTCGGAAGCAGCAAATGAAGGAGTCTGGATGAAGGAGTTCATATCCGATCTAGGTGTCATACCTAGTGCATCGGGTCCAATGAAAATCTTTTGTGACAATACTGGTGCAATTGCCTTGGCAAAGGAATTCAGATTTCACAAGAGAACCAAGCACATCAAGAGACGCTTCAATTCCATTCGGGATTTAGTCCAAGTGGGAGACATAGAAATTTGCAAGATACATACGGATCTGAATGTTGCAGACCCGCTGACTAAGCCTCTTCCATGAGCAAAACATGATCAGCACCAAGGCTCCATGGGTGTTAGAATCATTATTGTGTAATCTAGATTATTGACTCTAGTGCAAGTGGGAGACTGAAGGAAATATGCCCTAGAGGCAATAATAAAGTTATTATTTATTTCCTTATATCATGATAAATGTTTATTATTCATGCTAGAATTGTATTAACCGGAAACATAATACATGTGTGAATACATAGACAAACATAGTGTCACTAGTATGCCTCTACTTGACTAGCTCGTTGATCGAAGATGGTTATGTTTCCTAACCATAGACATGAGTTGTCATTTGATAAACGGGATCACATCATTAGGAGAATGATGTGATTGACTTGACCCATTTCGTTAGCTTAGCACTTGATCATTTAGTTTGTTGCTATTGCTTTCTTCATGACTTATACATGTTCCTATGACTATGAGATTCTGCAACTCCCGTTTACCGGAGGAACACTTTGTGTGCTACCAAACGTCACAACGTAACTGGGCAATTATAAAGGTGCTCTACAGGTGTCTTCGAAGGTACTTGTTGGGTTGGCGTATTTCGAGATTAGGATTTGTCACTCCGATTGTCGGAGAGGTATCTCTGGGCCCTCTCGGTAATGCACATCACATAAGCCTTGCAAGCATTGCAACTAATAAGTTAGTTGCGGCATGATGTATTACGGAACGAGTAAAGAGACTTGCCGGTAATGAGATTGAACTAGGTATTGAGATACCGACGATCAAATCTCGGGCAAGTAACATACCGATGACAAAGGGAACAACGTATGTTGTTATGCGGTCTGACCGATTAAAGATCTTCGTACAATATGTAGGAGCCAATATGAGCATACAGGTTCCGCTATTGGTTATTGACCGGAGACGTGTCTCGGTCATGTCTACATTGTTCTCGAACCCGTAGGGTCCGCACGCTTAACGTTACGATGACAGTTTCATTATGAGTTTATATATTTTGATGTACCGAAGGTTGTTCGGAGTCCCGGATGTGATCACGGACATAACGAGGAGTCTCGAAATAGTCGAGACATAAAAATTGATATATTGGATGACTATATTCGGACACAGGAATGGTTCCGGGAGTTATTGGATATAAAACGGAGTACCGGGGGTTACCGGAACCCCCCGGGGGTTAATGAGCCTCATGGGCCCAAAGTGGAGCAGAGGAGGGGCAGCCAGGGCAGGCTGCGCGCCCCCTCCCCCTCTAGTCCGAATTGGACAAGGAGGGAGGGGCGGCGCCCCCCCTTTCCTTTCTCTCCTCTCTCCCTTCCTCCCCCTCTCCTAGTTGGACAAGGAAAGGAGGGAGTCTTACTCCCGGTAGGAGTAGGACTCCTCCCTAGCGCGCCTCCTCCTGGCCGGCCGCCCCTCCCCCTTGCTCCTTTATATACGGTGGCAGGGGGCACCTCTAGACACAACAATTGATCCTTGAGATCTATTAGCCGTGTGCGGTGCCCTCCTCCACCATAATCCTTGATAATATTGTAGCGGTGCTCAGGCGAAGCCCTACGACGGTAGAACATCAAGATCGTCACCACGCCGTCGTGCTGACAGAACTCTTCCCCGACATTCTGCTGGATCGGAGTCCGGGGTCGTCATCGAGCTGAACGTGTGCTAGAACTCGGAGGTGCCGCAGTTTCGGTGCTTGATCGGTTGGGCCGTGAAGACGTATGACTATATCAACCGCGTTGTGCTAACGCTTCCTCTTCGGTCTACGAGGGTACGTAGACAACACTCTCCCCTCTCGTTGCTATGCATCACCATGATCTTGCGTGTGCGTAGGAATTTTTTTGAAATTACTACGTTCCCCAATATCTTGTTACCCTTTTTTTCTTGCAAGAGAGGTCTTGACCAGAAATTTTCATGAAAAAAGCCTTGTTATAGAAATTTTACAGAAGTTAGGAAATTTACAGAAATTTTTCGCAGCAAAGGTTTTGTTGTAGAATTTTTGTGCAACGGAGGTCCTGTTCCAAAAATTTATAGTCTTTTCACAACCGATGCCTGTGCGACCCGAGGCCCTGCAACTGTTCTTGTGTGAGACGGAGAGTGATAGGATCGAGATGTTTCTAGGGACGGAAAGGTGTAGAATGGGTGGGGCCACATGGACACGTGGTAGACGATGGAGGCGGTTGATGTTTGGGAGCAATCTGCCGGTGGATGCTAATCATTTCTCATGTTATTATCGATTAAATTTAATAAAACTAGTCATCACTACCGAAATCAGCCTCATTGCCGAATTTCGAGTTGCTAACCTAGTGCATGCTATTGGGCACTCAGCAAAGGCAACTGAATACCGAGAGCGACCATAATTGAACTCGGTAAAGGGTACACACTAGGCAAACCCAGTACTTTGCCGAGTACATGAATGATAACCTTCACTTAAGAAATGAAGTATTTACATATCCAACACAAGAAAATACTTCGTAGAATCGACAATAGTGATCTGTTAGAACTTGCTCAAATTTGAACTACAAGTGTGATGTAGTTTGGTCCTGAAAATTGGCAAAAATCATTTCAACCTTTAATATTGGTGGTGTACGCACTGGGCACAATCAAAATTGAATTTCTCAAACGTTTGTTATGAATGGCCATACTAAAAAGTTTGACCCAATTTTGGAGAAAATTATAGAAAGTGAAATAAGCCTCAAAATTTGAAATCCTTGTGCATGGAGCCATTTTTGTGCACTAGATAGTGAGAAATTTGATAAACTTGCAATGCCACAAGTTTGATTGTATGTGTTTGTGGTTCAGCTTTGAGAGGTTTGACAAAGCAATAAGTAGGGAGCACAAGAACAATAGTGGTTGTAAGATGGATGTCAGCATTCATGGTACAGTGTTGATAAGTACAACAATTAATGTTTCAAACCTTTGGGTGGCGGTGCAGACATCTACTTCTGTGGCTTAAATGGAAAATGCCAAGGATTCACTAAAAAGAAGCATAGTATAAAGAGGGGAGTAGGGATCTGAAGATATCACACACCTCAAGAAGAACAAGCAATGTCATGAGACCATACCGCGAAAAGGTAGAAAACACATATCAAGTGATTCTTAGGATGTGAGAAATTATCAAGTACTTCCTCTGTATCAAAATATTAGATTTTTTGACACTCTGATCGTAAAAAAAGTCATATATTTTGATACGGAGGGAGTATTATTTTGGGAGAGCCATAAATTTTTTATAAGCTTGAATGTGAAATGAAGCATGCAACTTATACGTGAAATGTGCTAGGACCATGCTATGTGTTTGTGCAATTGTTTTCAGAGTTATGTGTTATTATGCAAAATTTCAACGTACTTGGTAGCTACATCTTCAAATAAAACAAGGTGGTATTGATGAACTTCAATATCACACTAAAATATATTTGGCCCAACAAGATACTATATTGTATGTTCATGTTTGCATACTTTCTACTCATAAATGTGAAAACACTAACGTGAGTGGACCACTTTATCCAACATATATATTGCTTATTTCTCGAGATGCACGGGCGCGGCAACACATGCCTTTATGTTCTAGTGTGTCCATGTCAAGAGAGTAGTAGACTTACCAAGACCCAACCCGCCAATGCACCTTGTCGTGAGACACGGCGGCATCAGGATGTATACAGTTGAATATTCGCACTAGCGCGCGCCAAGAGTTATTTTTGTAGGCTTGATCCACCTGGCCTTGCTGGATGACAACGTGCAGAGGTTTGGCTGGCGCCCATGATACATCTTGCCGATGATTAGCACTTTGAAAGGCGTAGTCTACACTTGTTATGATGGCGTAGCCGCTTGTACTGAAATCCAAATCATCACTTAGTGGAGGAAGCACGTCGCATGCGCCGGCAAGCAGATTGCACATGACAAGGCGATATTGATAGAGAAAACACCATGGGCGGCGAGCCGCACGAGAAGGATGCCACAACATGCGGTTAGTGGCACCAGACCATTGAGGATGTGCGGGCTGGCGTCCGGGAAAAAGTTGGAGAGGGTGCAGCATCCGTGGCCGAAACCTGACTGTGGTGTCTGTATGAAAAACTTCACGAAGGATAGCTCCCCACGGAACTAAGGTGGGGTTCGTACGATCGGGCCGTTTCAGGGTGAAGAAGCTAGGAAGGCCGACCATGTGCACAAGCCCCCTTATCAATTCAGCCAGCAACGTCGAGGTAAGAAGGTGTCGGATATGAGGTGGCTCCACCGCCTAAACATGATAGTGCAGCGGAAGAGAGCGAGGGTGTCCTCCAAGCGGATGAGGATCTCATGGAACATGTCCTCCGAGAGGACCACCCTGGTGGTTGCCGCCGCCTTCGGGAGGGACACACTGGTGCACGATTGGACGAAGATTGAGTATATAGGCAATTGTAAGGTCATGTGAATCTTAATATATGAATTTTGCTAAACATTTATGAAAGTAAAAAAAATCGAAGGATTCGGGTCGAGTTCATGTGCATCTCAAAGGGTGTACAAGGAATAATAATGATTAGAATGTCGGCCAATATATCTCAAAGGGTATGAACATCCATCTACTAACACGGCCGTGATAGATCAACTTCTCCATCACTCCTGTCTCAAGATCAGCAGTGTAGAAGTTCATGTAGTTGTCCCTGACAACCACCGTGCCACCCTTCTCTCCCAGAAAGGTCAAGTGCAGGCCTTCTGCTCGAATCTGGTTGGGTGGTTTTAGCTCAACGACTCGACTATAAAGCCATCCTACAGGACCATCATCCTCGCTTTTTTCGTCATCTTTCCGTGTGCATATTTTTAGCCGGAATCCTTGCACATTATTGCCTGGCCTTTCCATGTAAATCAATGATAGTGCCCCGTTAGCAGCAACACTAAGTTGTGGTTCATCGTATATGTGTACATTGTGTATGATCGGGCTCACGATCTTAGTTAGGGAGACTTGGCATGTCTCAGCATCCACATCAATAGTATGCAACCTAGAAGCATAAGGAGGCAAGAAATCCCACCCAAAGAGCCAGTGTGCGGTGCCGTGGCACACAACGGCGTTGCGATGCATGAACGGCCCGCAGATGCCAACCTTGGTAGGGTTGAAAACTATTTCTGTAGGCATGTTCCACGACGCCTCGCTGTATGAGAATGTGTGGAGGGTGCACGGTTGGTGATCGCTATTGCTGCAGATGACCAGAACTTTGAACAAAGCCGAGTAGCCCGATGAATATGACGACGAAGATTTCTGCTCGCCGTTTGAGGAGCAGTCTGCGCTGGTCAAGATGGCATAGCCACTATCACGGTACTTCCAATCACTCTCCAGCGGGGGCAGAACGTCGCATGAGCCGGCAAGCAGATTGCACACGGCGAGGTGAAGCAGGGCACCGGAGGAAGGGAGGCGCACGAGGAGCAGCCCATGGCGCGCCGCAAGGGGCGTTGCTCGTTTGAGGAGGCCACTGGCGGCGTCGGGGAAGAAGGAACGGAGGAGACGGCGATCACGCCCGAACACGGATGCCGGCGTCGGGAAGAGGGACCTCGCAGAACTTTTCGCAATGAAGAACCCAGAGAGGAACGAAGACCTGTGGTCCGGCCAGCGGCGGCGCCGGACGTCGGCCGCGAGGCAGCTCCACCGCCTGCACGTCCTGGCACAGGTAAAGAGGTCGCCTTCGTCCTTCACGCGTGCGAGGACCTCGCAGACCATGTCCTCCGGGAGCGACATCGCCGTCGTCTGTTGCTTGGGGAGCTAGGGAGATGGATCTGTGAAACACGTCGTGCGAGCCGAGGAGCCTCGAGGTATTTTGCGGCCGTGGCTCCGTGAACCTGTTTGGTTGGACTCTCCGTGTAGTTAAAAGGGCCTCTAAGATCTGTACATGTTTTTCTGTTTTCGACATCACGTTTTACTCCCTAAAAAAAAAGATGTAGAGTTGCTCAAAACAAAAACTAGTAGATGTTGAAAGAATCACATATCAAAATAAAACGACAGGGAAATGACAGGCAAAAATTGTTAGCTTTCAATACAAGCTTGGCCGACTATCTCTTCTCTTTTTGTGGGCAAATTATCTCTGATCTAAACAATACAAGATGCCAGGCTCAATTTAGTTAACTGAACATGTTTCCTGGCAGAAAAAGCGTAACATTTCAGAGAGAAAACATGGCACCACCAAATCAATTTACATTGTCATCTTTCATTTCATTTGTAAGAACCAAACATTGTCATCTTTCATTTGTAAGAACCAAATTTGCACCTATATCACGTTGACCGAGAAAGAAAAGCATAGTACTTGTGTACTGAATTGTTTATACAAGGTTCACATAGTCATCATTATAGTGGTCATTTGAAAGGGCATCTCTGACTCAACCGAAAAATGGATTAAAGGCGTCGAGGAAAAGGTACCAAAGTCCCCTCGATTTGATTACAATTTTTACAGGCTTATAATTAGTTTACAACTTACTCATGCCCTTCCGATGGTTAACCCGATCGAAACAATTACGTTACCTCCTCCATCACTGAAGTATCAAGGTCACCTATGTACATGCGCCCTGGCTATCTTGAGTAGCATGGTGCTCCTAACAAGCTTAAGTATATTTGCATTGCTTTTCTTTCAATCCGCCTAGGTGGTTCCAACCTGGCAGTGCGAGTGTAGAGCCATCCATAAGTAGCACCATCCTCACTCTTTTTTTTTTTTTGTCTTACCACATGAAGATCTTTAGCCCAAGCGCCTGGCCTCGACAGAAGTAACACCGAGAGTTCCGCGTTGATCGTAATCCTCAGTTGTGGCTCACCGTACTGGTGGGAACTTCGCATCCACATTTGAGAGGCTTGATATGACTCCATGGCTGCATGCCCACCTCAAGAGTATATAAATCTGAGTGGTGGTGTGACCATTCCCCAATGCCTCAATGCACCTTACCACGAAAGATGACTGTGTTTGGATTCCTGACTGGACTATACTAGGGGGATCTCCTTGACAGTGCCAAAAGTTTGTTTCACTGGCATCACTACTAGGGAAAACCCTAATAGTAGCGCGTGTTTTGAGGCTATCAGCAGCGCGGGTGGCCGCGCTACCAATAGGGCGCTACAGCTAACTCTTAGTAGTAGCGCCGTCTATACCCGCGCTACTATTATTGACTATAGCAGCAGCGCTTTTCCAGGAAGCGCTACTATTAGTTAGTTGTAGTGATTTTCTAGCCCCATGCTACTGCTATATCTTTCATCATTTCCACCCCGTTTCAGCTTCAATAAACTACAATTTCGAGATACTAGGTACTAATAGATATCAATTTCATAAAGCCATAAAGCATTATAGGTACTAGGTAGTATTCCCTCGGTTCCAAATTACTCGTCGTGGTTTTAGTTCAAATTTGAACTAAAACCACGACGAGTAATTTGAAATGGAGGGAGTACTAGATAACAATTTCATATATACTCAACATGCATCCTCAAGCAGTACTAGGTGATATCGACGACGATCATCATATGTAGTTTTAGATGATATCGACGACGATCATCATATGTAGTTCTACATGATATCGACGATCATCATCATATGTAGTTCTAGATGATATAGCCACACACACACGTATGTAGTTCTAGATGATATCGACGACGATCATCATCCTCAAGCCTGGGCGGCGGGTGTTTCTGATAGTAATTAGGATGGCCTGTCCAACACGAAGGTTCTTGCCAACGAGGAATCTCTTCCACCTAACCGAGTTTAAGTGTGTGTGACCGTCGTCTGTGTCCATGTGGTAAGTACAGGTGGTGACGGAGCCCCTTGCGGTAAGGCGTAGTCCAGCTGAGCCTTCTTCATCAGGCTCGATACCACAACTCGCAGATAGGTTCTTTGACAATTTCTGAATAAGAAAACATATCAATTAATAAATAGCTTCGCACATACTCTTGCAAATATATTTCTATTAAGTCTATATTTCTACACTATCAAAAGACACAGTACTACGCATTTGTACTAATAAGTATATATGGATTATCTACACTATTAATAGTTCCTTGGATTCTACACTAATAAGCATGTGATCAGACTCTACACTAAAGCATATCATCGACTAGATTCCACATAGCATATCATTGGACTCTACACTAAGCATATCATCGGATAATTTGCATTTGTAAGTATAACAATAAAGCATATATATATATATATATATATATATATATATATATATATCATCAAATTACTACAGTCAGTATAACATACCATTTCATGTCGATCGACCACGGTACTTGTCAGGCGGGTCACGAATGGCACCCCAACAAAGTCATCACGTGGCGAAATTATGTCCCATAGGTTGCGCACCTCCTCCTCGCTCATCCTCATTCTTTGAGCTACGATGGCTTCATGAAGTGGGTTCTCATCATCTTCATTGAGTGGTCCTCATTATCTTCATCATGTTCGTCATCTTCATCATCTTCCATCAGGTTGAGATAAATGACAGCCAGCTTAGGTCTTTCTGCTCTGAAGGAGAACCTGATTAACTCACCACCAGTAAGACGCATGTGGGCGACGAAATGGGCCCATCCATCTCCTCCAATCTGCGACATATTGCTTCCTTTCTCGACCTCCATAGTGTACGCCCCCCCAGGAGTCTCAAATGTCACAGTGTCTCTTGCCAGCTTGTTGAATTTCAACCTCACTTTGCATGGGACGATCTGTGTAAAAAAAAATGACACAATGCAGTAAGGTCAACACTAAAATAAAATAGTTGTTACATTTCATCTAATTTCTTACCACCGCCTGACGAAAACTCGGCCGGAAGTAGATGCCGAACAGCTTGCCAGTTGCAAGGCTGCTGGCGCACCTTGACTTGCACAGCCGACATTGTGGTGGTGGTGGCGGCGCCATTTTCCAAAAGCAATATGAGCAAAGGATTAACGATCCACTTCACAGGAAAGAAAAACAGTAGCATGTGATTTTAACTAAATTGGCACCTACATTTTGCCAAAAATTAACTTATTACAAAAAAACAAAAACATCTACATATCCATGTACAGAAAAAAAATAACAATAAAATGGTGCATACTAAATCAACTAGCCTACTAAATCAACTAGCCTACAAAATCATCTAAATCAAAATGTTCTAAATCAACTAAATCAACTAGCCTACTAAATCTACTAAATCAACTAGCCTACTAAATCAACTAAATCAAAATGTTCTAAATCAACTAAATCAACTAGCCTACTAAAGCAACTAAATCAAAATGTTCTAACTCAACTAAATCAACTAGCCTACTAAATCAACTAAATCAAAATGTTGCATATGAACTAGCCTACTAAATCAAGATGTAGCAGGGAGGAGGGAGAAGGAGGGGCGACTCGAGGAGGGAGAACAGAGTAGGACGGAGGAGGAAGGCGGAGCGAGGAGGGGCCGGCCGGCGGCGAGTCGAGGGAGGACGGAGGAGGAAGGCGGAGCGAGGAGGGGCCGGCCGGCGGCGAGTCGAGGGAGGACGGAGGAGGAGGGTGGTACCGAGTCCAGCGAGGAGGAGGAGTTGACGGCGGCACAGAGGGAAGAGGGGTGGAGATAGCTAGTTTTAGCAGTAGCGCTCTAAAGGCAAAGGCGCTACTGCTAAACTACCTAGCAGTAGCGCGGTCCGAATAAACGCACTGCTGCTAGAACTAGTTTCGCGGCGGGTAGTGGGAATTATAGCAGTAGCGCGGCTTAGAGAAGGCGCGCTGCTGATACGTCTATTTCAGCAGCGAGTACTGCCGGAGCGCGCTATTGCTACATTGCAGCAGCGCCTTATTTTAAAACTCGTTGCTGGTAAGATCCTGTGTACGTATAAGCTTTTCCCTAGTAGTGCATGCTCCACCTGGCCTCGCTAGATAGAAACATATGGAGGTTGGATGGTCTACCGTGATACATCATGCCCATGATCGTGTGTGCAACGTACATGGACATGGAGGACAATTGAGTATCCTCAATGTTACTTCCTGTTTTGGTACAGTTTGTCATTTACTGAGCTAAATCAATTGGCAGCAGTGGTCGTCCTCTCAGTTTGGGTCGCCTTCCTTGATAATGCTGTTGGTGTCGTGAGGTTTTGAGCAAAGCTCCGCTATTTGGCGCCGACAACAACGATGCATGTGGGTGTCACCTCCCTCTTTGGGGCATTGTTGTGGTTACCTCCACTACTATATCAGGGCTCCAGGTGAAAACGTAGTCTGGCTTCTGGGGCTCAAAAGGCGGCGCACCGGCGCCCTCGTGGTGTCCTCGCCCTCGTGGGCTGTCTTCGTGGAGTCTCGGTTCCTCTTAGTTGCAACTTGCTGGCGATATCTTGTCGTGTCGCGTCCTCGGCTTTTTAAAACATAGTACAACGCAGATGCCCTCATACAGGTACATAAACTCACCTCTATGAACACACACACATCCTCCCCTGTGAGCACCTCCGAGATACTGAGCCGGCACAGTATCCTCGGCTTTGGCGTGGAGTGTTTTCGGCAACCACCAGGTTATGAGAAGATAAGCACACCTCATTACATTTGCAAGTTAGATAAAGCTTTATATGGTGTGAAACAGACCCCAAGAGCCTGGTACTCAAGGTTGAGCACACAATTACAACAACTTGATTTTAAACCATCTAAAGCAGATATCTCACTATTTCTTTTCAATAGAGGCCATGTCACTATATTTGTTCTATTATATGTTGATGATATAATTGTTGCTAGTTCAAGTCCAGATGCCACCACTTGCCAGCTTAAGGATTTA